CCGTGTGCAGAAGTTTTACAGCCTGTACTTCCTCGTCTGCTTCAATGTATACACGGGCCAATAGCGATGAGATTTCGGGGTCGCGGGTTCGTAGTTTTTCGAATAGATTGATACCGGAAGTGTAGCGACCAGTAGTGTGGATGTAGCTAAGAAGACCAGTTGTCAAGTGGTTGGAAACAAGATTGGGGACTTGAATCTCGGGATCAGAGCCCAGTTGCCAGCCTGGTCATGATTAGCATGCCATTGTCATTGCGCATTGCCAGGTGCGACCCTACCCTGGAAGAACAGACGTTCGGCAGCGTCCAAGAACTTGTGCTCGCTCTCGGTGCTTGTGATGGGATTGAAGCGCCGGACACCAACAATCTTCTTAATGGTGTCGCCCGAGCCATCGTCTGCGTACGAGTATGCGCGCAAGACGCTGCACAGATACGTCTCTAACCACAGGTCGTCGGTCGCAACGCGCTTGTCTCCCCGCTCGTCGATGCAGTAGCTCTCGACTGTGCCTGGGATGAAGACTTGGACACGCATGTCCAGCCTTGAGAAGGCATTGTAGCAGCTGCTCGGTCAGCAAAAACCACTGTGTCCCGTGTGCGTCTTCCTACCAGTATAGGCCGGAGACGACCTTGTGTTGCTTGTCGTGCGGCGAGTAGGTGAGCGTATTGATGTAGGCAGCTAAACTGGCCGAAGAAGAAGCGTCTACGCCCGAGACGTGGTGGTAGACACCGACCTGTGTGACCTGTCAGAAGACGGTTCCTTGTTACAGTCTGGTGGTGGGGAGAAGTTGCACACACTTGCTTCGTGGTCGACTTGATGGGCTGTTTTATGAGGTGGACAAGATCTGGAGGACCGAGTTCGCGGAGCGTCTGGAGAGACTCTGAGCGTGCTTCGACCGACGACTGCAGCTCATCCTCGTAGATCCTATCGCCTTGTTAGATGTGGGTTGTTGGTGGTCTGGTGTTGGGTGAGACAGGCCAGCCTTGGGATGCCATTCCACGGAGAGCAACATGTTTCAAACATGTGTCTCAGGGACGACATGTCAAGGCTGGTTTGCGTGCATGCAGGCACACAATGCACATGGCACTTTGGTAAACTTTGGATGGGCACGGACACATGGGAGAGGTCGCAAACACATACTCAGGAACTGCTGGGGCTGTGACCATGGCTCAATTGGCGACCGCACACAGCGGGAGGGGGAGGGGGAGACAGCCGGCGAGAGTGAATGGGAGATGGAGAGCGGTGGGAGGGCAGTTCTGTCCAGAGAGAGGCGATGATGGCAAGTCGAGGGCTTTGGCAGGTTGATTGTCAAGCCTTTGGGCGGGCAGACAGGCAAGCCGACATTCAACTCTGAGGACGTGAAACGTGAGCTTCCTGGAGACTCTAGAGAAGCGCGCGGAGGACCGCCGGTGCCAAGACTGGCATCCCTGTCGCGATATCACTCTTCACAGTCGCGTCGCGTCACTCGGGCCCAGATAGAGAGCGAGAGAGAGAGAGAGAGAGAAAGAGAGAGAGAGGTAGGCGAAGACGGCAACGTCACACTTCGGGCCTGTCCCTCGTCCACACCCATTATTTCCTTCCTCTCAACCTCCCTCCCCCCCCCGCCCACTTCCTATCCCGCCGATGTTGTAGGCGTATTCCCACCCGTCTGTACGCTCTTTCTCTCCAACAATTAAACACACCACCACTCGCTCACGGCCGCTCTGGCCCTCTCTATCATGGTAGGTTTCCATCACTGCACGCATCATGATGATATGCGTGAACACCCAGAGCCCAGAGCCCAGACGATGAGGATAGGCACGAGGACAGATGATCGAAATATCCGTCCTGTCACCAACATCCTGGCGACTTCCCTATGAGCCCCACGCTCACGCTAACACGACACAGTCCAAGGCGGCTGTGCTAAAGGCTTCCGTATGGCACCCATTGAACGTCGAGGTCACCGAGCAGACGGCCGAAGAGGATGTCGATGACACCCAGGAAATCCAGATCGAGGAGGCCCTGAAGCTGTACGCAGCCGCCCTCAAATCCCACTCCGAGGGCCCCCAGTCCTATCAACAGACCGCCGCGGCGTACAAGGCCCTCTTCGAGTCGGAAATATTCAAGTACACCGAATCGCTGTCCGAATACAAGCGCCATGAAATCTATGGCGAGGAGCTGGTCTTTGACTCGATCCTCGAAGACGACTTCGAGGCTGGGCCCGTCCAATCAACAGGCGCCGCCGACAGTGCGCCCAACACACTACCTCAGATCCTCCACTTGTCCTACAAGAACCATGGCCAGTTTCTGTTGGAGTCGATGCAGTATTGGATCAATGAACATGGCAATATTTCTCAAGCCCATGTCTGGGACAATACCCGGAGTGCGCTCAACTACTTCGCCGAAGCTCTGGACAAGGAGGACACCGACCTTGATCTTTGGATGCGAGCCGCCTCCATATCAGCCATGCTGGGCAGCAAGCGTCTCACACGCTACTGTCTCGAGGCCGTTCTGGACGGCAATGACGAACAGTGGGAGAGTGTCTTACAATTGCCTGGTCTCGAGGTGGGGTTCGCTGGGCAGCAGTTGCGGGATTTGGTCGAGAATCTAGAGGACAGTGTCTCCTTAATGCAAACGCCATTTCTATCACTGAAACGGAAGAAGCTGTCAGAAACATTGAAGAAGCGTCTGAATCCGTTCCCGTTCGCGCCACTGCCAGCTCAAGTTGCTCACCACACCGCGCCCGCAATAACAAAGGCTGTCCCAGAGAGCATCACTCTAACACCTTCAAAGTGGGACTGGGCCGGCGTCGGCGAGATCATTTTACAGCAGTTCATCGCAGAACAACGTGGAATGACGTACAACGCAGCGCCAGGATCCAACATCATATTCAACATCCCATCTAACAGTGGATCCCCGGAACAAAGTGAGCCTGAAACATCAACTGAAGCTACGGATCTTACTTCACAAGCACCCAGCTTGCTGGTAACAGCGCAGCCATCTGAAGCAGCGCCACACGAAGCAAGTGCTGTCAGTGTAGCAACAGGCGGCCTACAAGGTGCCGCGATCGATGAAAATACCATGATTGAAGATTCAGGCGGCGGTGCTGAGGTCAACACCGAGGATCCAGGGGCAGCCACATCTCTAACGGAGCCCCCTCAACCCCCGTCTCGCAAGCGATCAACAGATTCGGCAGGCCTGCCCGAGACAGCTGAAGGCGGTCGATCTCGTAGTAAGCGCATTCGTGGACGAGATTCTACCATTGAACCAGCTGCTGGCAGTAGTGGACGGGCCGCCCAGGATGCAGCCAAGTTGTTGGAAGAGCAACTCGAGCCATACACCCACGCCGATCAATGTTTATACGAAATTGTCAAAGACATCTACACACGACTTGGCATTCAGAACGTGAAAGAGCCATCAGAGCTCCGTGATCTTCTAAATGCTCTCCCGGAAGTCACAGCGACAGATCCCTTTGATAAAGCCGCATGCGATATGTTTTTGGCGCTGAAGAGCGGGAATCCAAAAGGGGCCCAGATACTACTGAGTAGTGAGTCTTTTGACTTGCTTGGTGTGACGCGCGAAGCTGGTTTGAATGCTTTCCTTGGGTTCGCAAAGTCAGGCTCAGGATCACTCTGCAGCAAACCCATGCTATGCGACCAAAAGCTAGGCACGTTCACACGCCACGTGAATGATGCCTGGCTATCTACTGCGGAGGTTGCCTTCGCTTGGATGGAGGCCTTGCTGTCCCCCCAATTCTTTTCACCGCAAGGGCAAGCTCGGTCCAATCACGATACGAGTTACACACGGTTTAGATGGGCCGAAGATCTCAAACGGAACCTGGTCCAAATCATCGTCAACGTCGACGAATACATCTACGAGCGCATGTCAGATCGAATCGATAGAACAAATCGGCGCATGCTTGAGGCTCATCATTGTTTTCAGGATTATCACCTCTCCACGCAGGATGCATCGCAAATCGAGATTGTGGAGACCTTGTTTGAATTACATCTAGATGTATACTCATTGATCAAACACCCTCACAGCCAAGTAGATGTCAACACCCAGATTCTCCAAAGGGATCGTTTGGAGAGGTGGTCAACGCTTGCACGAGATGCTATGCAACTTCGGTCCGCTGCAGACTTAGCTCCGGTAATGGATGATCTTGCTCTTCGTCATATCTGGGCTTCGGTATTTCAGATAAGCGTGAATGAAGAGGTGCCACCAGAGCACACAATATCAGCAATGGCAGAGCTCAAGAGCATATTCTCTTCACTAGGAGATCATACAGTCCAGCTACAGAACAATGCCATTATGCCAGAATTATCCGTTGCCGCTATCGACCGCGAGCTCGTTCGAATTAGCATGAAGGACTTCTTCCTTAGGGTATTTGACCAGGATGAGCAAGATCCAGTGACGGTCATCGAAAGCTTAGAACCGATCCTAGAAGATCAGACTACGACGCCACCTATATCTGCCAGCGCGCTCGCTCCTGGCGAAGAAAACACCGATGCCCACAGTTCATCTCCCATTGGCAGCGGCGCAGAGCTATCAGTTGGGACCCAAGCTGACCAATCATCACCTATCGCTGAGATGCGCAAGTTTTTAGACTCTGCCAATGTCAACGTCCGCCTGTCGCTCTGGCACAGGCTGAGGGTAGCATATGAAGCAATTGACTATCCACCAAAAGTCGTGGCTTGCTACCTGCGTAGTATCGAAACTCTCACTAATGATTGCGCATCCTCAAACTTCCAAGACTTATCATTGCCGGATCGTCAAACTAAACTATTAACACGTTTCCGCGTAATCGACGACATGGTTGTTAAGATTCTTCGCATCATCAGAGATGAAAAGTCTGCATTTGACTGTCTTGCGTATGAGCATGTGCAATCGTCCATGGCCATCATCAATGAACTTTTGCGCATCCTCTCAGCCGCAGACATGTTCAGGGATCTGGTTCGCGTTAACCAGACTCCTATGCCGCGAATCGAGGGTCTGCCAGCACATACATTCGTCACCATGTCTGCGCGGATTGATGATATACATTTGCGGCTTTGGATACTACAGTATCATCTGCTCCGTGAAGCAATATCCCAAGATCAAAAAGACTTCCCGACGCCTTCCGACGACCTGTTTGAATTCCTTCGCCATGTGCATCATGCGACTGGCGTTCGCCACTTTTGCCATCAATCCAATCGCCAATTCCTCAGGCAAGCAAAGGATGAATTACTTCGTCTGGATGATGTCATTGATGGAAATAGCTATGCGACGGAAATGTGTCAAGTCTTGTTCGATCTCTATGGACTCAAGCTCTTTGTTAATCCCCTAGAGTGTCAGGAGTTCTCTGCTATGCCTGACGCCATCGACAAGAAGACTGCGTTCAGTCTCCTTCCTTTCATCATGTCACAAGTTTCCAAGGTTGATCTTAAAGATCTACCCAAGACTGAGCTCAAAGGAACAATCGAAAAGGTGCATGCAGCGTTGGGTCGTCCCAAGCAGAATGAGGACGTCTCTTTTAACCGGAAGATCATCTCAGCTTACATCAAATCTCCCATCAACCCTGTGACGCTCTTTAGTTGCTTGAAGGGAATTGGCTCGCTGCCCACCAAGCGTATATCCGCAGAAGAAGCAGTGGCTGCTTCAAAGGGCTGGTACTATATGATGGGCAATATCGCTCTTAGCAAATTCCGTTCCCAGAAGCGCATGACACAGGGGCCGACAGAGGATTTGAATTATGCTCAAGCGTTCTTCATACAAGATCTGGAATACTCCGTGGACCGTTGGGAGACATGGTACCGCCTTGCGCAGACAAATGATACTCAACTGGAAGAGGCGGTGTCATGGAATGCAGATAAACTGAACAGTAACAGTGTGGAACTGGTCAACTTTCAACGAGCCGCCCTTAACTGTTATATCATGGCCGTGGCCTGTGCCGTTCGCGATGCAGACGCGGCCCCCCAAACCATGGACAAAGTGGCACAGATGTATACCGACTTTGGCAATCGCATCTATGCTTCATCAAGGCAGCCTTTTGACATGGAAGCATTTCAACTCCGCGAGGCCGAGAAAAGGTTCTGCAATACGGAAAGCCAAAATACGTACAGAGACGTGACGTTCATTGCCCTAAAGCCCTGCACAGCATGGAAGTTTGCCAGCACTCTTTACAAGCGAGCTATCAAGGTTCACCCCAACAAGTGGTGGAATTACTACATGCTTGGAAAGTGCACTTGGAAAATGTGGACCGAGAACAACGACCTGATGCGTTATGCCGAGTCTACCGGTGCTCCCAATCTTCCGGAGCAAGGGCCAGGATGGGAAGAGGTCGTCGACGCCTTCATCAGTGCCATCGAGGCTCTGCCCTGCAAAAAGGGACGCAGCGGCGAACCAATCCTCGAACCGCATTACAAGCTGGTTTCTATTACCCACAAACTCTTCCTACGCCGCGCTATCAGCTACGAGAAGGGGGCAGAACTTCTCGCTCATTCTTTGTACTCACGCAATGTCCCCGAACCCACAGGCGTAGAGGACTGGGAGCGATACATTCTTGCTGTGTTGAAGGCGCTGCGAACTGCGGACAAGTCTAGTTGGCACCACCGCATTATTTCGCGTTCAGCTCATATCATTTACGAAGAAGGAAAAGACACACAGCTTGCCAGTCAAGCCAAGCACGAGTTGACACAGCAGATGTTTACCAAGACCATGGCTGTACAAGTTTGGAAACCAGAAAATGAACGCCCTGGTAGACATTTTGTCTACACGACGCGATACACGCGTTACTTCCTTGAGCTTCTGGACCTTACGACAGATAAGGCAAACTTTGAAGCGTTAGCTAAACGTGTTCGCCGCAAGCAGACCGACTTTTTTGAGCATCAGAAACTGTGGCAAGATTTGTGTTCACGATATCTGCGACTGCTGAGGAGGATTGGCCAGATTCCTGACGGACAGGAGGATTCGGTCTTCAAGTCGGTCAACCATGATGAGTTCAACGCTCTCGCTCTTCGCCTGGAAGCCTGGTGTCAGAACCCGACGACTCAACACCCCGTCTTAGACATTCTCCGCGACGCCATTGAGCTCAAGCGCCTCAATAACGGACTGATGAAATCGCTCTCCATAGACGATCTCATAGGAGATACATACGCCATGCTATACACCCTCATCAGCCCCACCCTTCCTCCATTATCTACCGAGCAACAACAGCCCGCACAATCATCACAATCCGGACCGACTGTTACCACCCCACTTGTACCACCAGGCGCCCTGCCCATATCGTCTTTTATGCAAGTCCAAGTCGACGGTCAACACGACCCCAACACCACACCTTACCTTTACCAATCCAGCACCCTACAATCCCAAGCACCACCTCAAGCCGCTCCTCCTGCCGACTTCCCTCTCAAAACCCGCACCAAAGCCATTGGGCGTCGTGAAATCGCCCGAAGAGCCGAAGCATGTGTTCAGAAAGCTGCAGCCGCATCCACCTCCTTGCCAACATCCATACCCATCCGCAGTCCCCCAGTTCTCCACGCCACTCTCTCGAGTCTCACCTCGCGTCCTGCAAGCCCGGAAAAGACGGAAAACACGCAGACGGCACCAGCCTTAAACGAGCAGCTACGAGTCACATTTGACAACGACCCTGACCACACTCACTCCAACCACAGTGGGCCTGCAACCGCGGCAGCCAGCGTGATCAACGATGAAGTCCAGCCCAGTGCTCCCGGTTCCGTGCATGATGATGCAGACGACGAGAGTGAGTTGAGTGAGTTAGATGAGGAGGAAGTGCAAGAAATTGAGCAGCAGGTTGGGCATCACGGGCTTTTGAATCGGTCCGGTAGTATGACTGCTATTTCGTTTGGGAGCCATCTTGGGGCTGGTAGGGGTGTAGAGGGTGCGGTGAAGGATGGGGTAGCGACAAGGGAGGCTAGTGAGGAGGTGGCTGAGGAAGAAGAAGAGGAGGGTGAGGAGGAGGAAGAGGAGGAAGAAGCGGAAGAGGTGGATGAGGAAGGGGATGTGATTGATGTGCAGCATCGGGTGGTGAAGATGGCGGAGGAGGAGGGCACAGATGGTATGAAGGAATGAGATGGCTTTTGCTTTGTGGAAAAAAACGACAGTGGAGATTTAAAAGACCTGCGCTGGAAGAAAGTTATATGATAGGTGAGTGCTGGTGTTTAGGTAGTGTTTTTACAATACCCGGGTCCTTTGACCGTTTTTTCTTTCTTATATTTGTGTCATGTCATGTCTCGTGATGGTATTCCGTGTATATGTTCCCGCCCCCATGGCTTCAAACGAAAGAAAAGTTCTCATCTTGGGGTTTTTTTTAAAAGTCGTGTAGGGCCAGTTGATAGTGAGTTTGGATGGGTCAGGGTTCTGGAAACTGGTCGACAGTTGTTTAGGGTGAGAGTGGACTTGGACTTGGGGTTTTGACTTTGATGTCGAGGTAAGAAACTCTGCTTCCGGGTTCGATTTCGAGGTGAATTAGATTATTTTGAGGCTTTACGGCGGATATATAGTAGATAGTTGGTCACTGCCAGGGTGAAGGGGAGGTTGTCTCGAAGTCTGTGTTTAGCGGCGTGGTGGTGTGGTATATAGAGTATGATACTGCTCTGTTGTTTCCTCGAGTCTATCCTCTTGGTGTGAAGTTTTACTTTGGGTTTTAGGGATACTGGGTTGAAGCGTAGTGACAACATCCGCAGTTGTTCAAGAGCTATCACCATACTTATCTAAAGTCAACATGGCTTCCAACGCACCCCGAGCTCCATCTCTTCCGCCTCCCACCACTATACCTTCACCACAATATCAACCTCCTCCTCCCCCCACGACCACATCTCCAGAACCTTGCCAATGCCGGCCCCCTCACCAGGACAAGATGTCGCATCCAGCCTACCACACATCCTAGTTCGTTACTCCACGCCATATCCCATCCCACCTCCGATACCGAAAACTGACGCACAGCAAATCACAGTATGCGAGGCCCCACGATCAAACTCATCATCGGCCATGGTCTCTCCGCAGTCCACTACACGCTTCCCATCCGCCTCCTGGCCGTGAACTCAGAACTCCTCACCCGAGACATGAGCCAGATGCTCTCCCTCAACGGCGCCACAGCCGGCCTCCACATCAAGCGCAAGACCCCGCACGATTCCTCACCAGAAATGACGCGCAAGCCCTTTTCCGAGCTCAGCGCCGACGCCTCGACAGGCCGCAGTGAGATACCGCGTGTTGAGGCAGCCAAGGCGGAAATGGTGTTGCAGTATTCGCAGATGGAGATGGATAGCTTTGGGCTATTTTTGAGGTTCATGTTGACGGGGGATTATCCGGTGGGTGTTGATGTTGGGTTTGCGGCTGTTTGGGTGCCGTGGTGTAGTCGCGAGGCGTGGGTTTGGAAGGGGATGGCGTGGGATGTTGGGGGTGGACAGAAGGAGAGTGGACAGCAACAGGGTGGACAGCAACAGAACGCACATCAGCAGAGCGGACATCCCCAAGCTGGATTTCAGCAGAACGGAAACCTTCAACCGGGACATCAGCAGAACGAATCCTCACAAGCTAGGAGCTGTTGCAGAGATGTTCCATG